GTTCAATTATCGAAAATTCGAATTTTTTTTTATATTAGGTAGACATGTTTCTGATATCAGAAGAGGTTAGGATAGAATATAGGCTAGCGAGGTAGGTCTCTGCTACTTCACACTTAGCAACAAGTGAACAGTTAGCCAATTAGATATCAGAATAGATAGGATCAATGTCATAAACTATAGATACCCGGATGTTGAATATCAGAAATTAATCGATTTTAGAGACATGTGTTCTCATCAGAAACACAGGTTTGCATATTGATTGATTATTGGGCTGATCGTGTACACTTTTATTACTACTATAACCTTAAAGGGGTTTGGTTCTTCATTGCTCTTTCTATAAAACTGTGTGTTGAGGGAAAAATTCTCTTGAAGTCTTCTCTTTCTTTTGAATTAATTTTGGAGCTCACCCAGTACTTATATATCTTCTGCCCATTTCTCCATTCTCCGCTTTACTATATGCATAGCTAAAAACAGCGCAAGGACACGGACAAGAGCAAGAAGGTAGACAAACAAGGCGCTGACTTACAACCAAAGTTTATTCGTGCTAACATCGAGTATAAATACTGCAACGTCAAAACAAACAAACAAAAGAAAATACATAAAATAATGAATAGTTGGGCAAGTTGGTGGGAATTCATCCCAACTAACAACTGTTTTCTTTTTTCCTACCAAACAAGCATAGCTGAAAAAAGACACATTGAAAAGATAAAAGGGGGACAGACATAATCAGATCTAACGCAGTCATGCAGCTGTAAACACGTCTCTTGTTCAGATCAATGCTTGGGCGACCAATGCACGTGTGCGCTACCCATCATGATGCGGCATCTTTTTTCACAAGATCTTGTTCAGATCTTGGCCGCCGCAGCCAAGATCTGAACAAGAGATGTGTTTACACTTGCAAGGCTGCGTTAGATCAAATTATGTCTGTCCCTCTTTTATGTTTTCAATGTGTTTTCTTTCAACCATGCTTATTTGGAAGGAAAAATAAACCAGTTGTTTGTTGCGAATTTCGAGTAGGAGAGCACCAGAGTTCATTGAATACTCTCATCATGCGATGCATTGCCGCGAGTGGGAGCCAAGATTGAGTGACACCGAAGTTTTGTTCAAGCAGGACCAAGTGTCTAGAGAGATAGTAGAGGCCTACCAAATCAAAAGGACGAGAGCCTCCTGTGTCAGCCAACCGTCTTTGGCCCTGCTAGATAGTGAGGGGGCGTTTTTGGATTTGTGCTAGCTTCATATCGCTTTTTATCACGTTTCTCACGTGCCATCAAACTGTTATGAACTGTCCCGTGATATGCAGGCGGGAGGCGTACTACCAAAGATGAATGGTCATTTTTTTTATGTTTTCCTATTAAAATAATATTTGATAGTCAGCGCTCATCCAATGTGTTTCTTCTTCGTCCGCGGTTTTTTTTTTTTTTCGCGCTGTTTCCTACGAAGGAAACACATGACATGGACGCCGCTATTACTGTGTGCCTAAAAAGCAACATTCCTTATCGGATAACGATAGTGAAGGAGCACTGACGCAGTTTCTAACCCAATCTTCCAATTTCCCGTGCTTCAGTGATTGATTTAGTGAGTTTATCTTTATTCTTTCTAATCACCTCACACTTGTCGAAGACGGGAGTGCATGGTCAGTCTCGGCAATGCAGGCCAAGATGACCTGGCACAACCCTATAAACGTCATACTCATCATGTATATAGTTTTGTTTGTTTCTTTTTACGTTGCTGTATTCATACTCGATGTTAGCACGAATAAACTTTAGCTGTAAGTCCCCCCCCCCCCCCCCCCCCCCCCCAGCGCCTTGTTCTACCTTCTTGCTCTTGACCGTGTCCTTGCGCTGTTTTAATTTTTAATCATAAAATACCAACTAGCCCAATCATTTCTTCTGGTTTTGTTTTCGACCGGAGTTGCCCTTTAACCGGTCGCACATGGGTGGTAACACGAACGGCCGCGAAGTGACGTTCCAAGAGCACTGTGCGGTCCAAGCTATCAATCGGAGCTCAACCGCTACGTGACCTCACAAGGGCGCTGCGCCAGCAGCTGGTCGCATCTTTAAATTGGTTTTAGCTGAGGACGCGGCTTCACTTCGACGTAATATATTTCGGCTATGATCATAATTCGTGCAACTAAAGCGATACCGGTTATTTATTTTTGGTTTTGGTTTTCTACCGAAGAAACAACGCCCATCTTGTGACATTTTCTTTACAGCTGAAAAGCGAAACACACTTGGCATTTACTGTGGCTGATGCGATAGCATCCTACATTGACACGCCTTCAGCACGTACATCGTGCAGCAGCAGGCTCGAGTGTGGAGCCATCAGGCTTGCCTGGGAAGTGCCCAAAACGCTTAAATAGAAAGAATGATGGAGAAGAATACTTAGCCTCCGGGTAAAAATTAAGCACAGATGTGTTCAATAAAATTGCCGAAAGCTTCGTGGCGAAACGTTTTGTAACGTGGTTGGTGATTTTGGAAGAATAAAGGCGGACCACGTCTGAAAATTAAATGAGAGACGTTTCATTATGTGACACTTAGACGTGTATAACTATTTGAATGTCACGTATACCATCCGAGAATACATGGGCCGATAAACTGGGGGAGAAGAGGACACGAAAGAGTGCCGTGGGGACTTCGGAACACTATAAGCTCTGGTTCGAATGGTTGGTGGATAGGCATAAAGCCCCCCCCCCCCCCTCCCCTGGCCCCCTCTGTCTTCACTGCACTCGTCGAACGCATCCGAATGCCAAAGCTTAACGCTGGACGCCGGCATCCGCGTTCTGACACATTCGACGAGTGAAGTGGAGAAAACGGCTGCTAGCTTTAGGTCTACCCTCTAATCCTTCCCATCTGAGATCGGCGTTCTGACCCTCCCCCGCGTTCTCGTATCCTTCTCTCCCTCACTTTCTCGGCGCATATTTTTGTATCTTATTCCGCCTATATCTCATTACTCGGTAAGCGATGAGAATACTTAGGAACACAAAAAATAGAGAGTTTAGTAGATCGTTCCGATACCTCTGATAGCCCCGATAACGATACTATGCATGCGCATGGGAGGCGGTGGCGGAGTATCGGGTATCGTTATCGGAGTCATTAGAACGATCTACTAAAACTCTCTGTTATTAACCTACAAATTCATATGGTTTTACGGCTTGAGGTAAAAAAAAACAACGCAGCTGGACAAGGACAAAGAACAAGAAGTAACAGGATTTCAGCGCTGGCTATGAACCGATTTTGTTTTCACCTATATATATATACACTTGGTCAATTCCAAATAAAACCAACTTGCCGGCAATCCCGGCATCTTTAAAAACATATAAAAGCTGTGTGTTACAAGAGCTTGACTTTTTTTAGCGGAACTATCTGGGAGGATGACGGATCGATTTGTTGACACATTTGTCTTTTTGCTAGTTTATCTCCTAGGCTTCCATTATTTTTCTGTTCAGCTTTTCTCTGCTTTTTTTTTTTCATCCTGATAGTCAGCACTGAGTCCCGTCTGTGCTTGTTCTTCGACTTTGTCCAGTGGCGCTGTTTTTACCTCAAGATATTAGGCAACTAACTAGCCCAAACCAAACCATTTAGCAGCTTTTACGGCATTTCATTTTTGAACACATTGTACATTTTTCCCAGTTAGCAGTTGCCTGTTGAATACATAATTGAGTTAAATAGAAATAAGGATACTTTAAAGAACGCGAGATAAAAAAATCCTCCGATAAATCGAAATAGGAAGAGAAATCTAAGCACATTAACCTTTTTCTCCAAAATAAGATGTATATTCCGCGTTTCACTACTTCTTTTGATAGCCAAGAATGACCCCGATTCTGAATTGTGGTATTGGCACTCATTGTTACATCTGACGATGATGTTGTATACACACGTATTATGATATCGCTTGATTTAGAAGACTACTTTTGCCTTCTGTATTTAATACATTTTTAACTGGTGCTTGTTTTTGTCTTCATTTTGCAAAAAAAAAAAAAAAGCCGTAGAACATTGTTTTTAAACTTTCTTTGCATTCGGAAGAGGCGTAGACAGTAATTTCAAGGAAGAACATTTAAACACATGCGGTTCAATGAGGTGTCCGTTAGTGTCAACCGTTATATAAAGCACAGCCAAGAAAGAGTAATGTGAACGAACGCTAAAAATAGTCCCTAGAAAACGGAAAAAAAATACGGCTCATGCAGCCAGTTGTAACAGGAGCAGTTTGGCGCGATTGGTTCTTATCCGAGTTAGCCTCGCCCGCGGACCTGGCACGGAGCTCGCCGAACCAAGAAAACGCGATGATAAAACCGGTTCGAAATATCTGTAGCCGTGCTACGACAGGTCCGCGCACGTACTTCATGACCTTTGCCCACGTTACACGCAACATTCCACGGGTCGGCGGACTTGTCCTCGGACACGTTCCTGTGGTCTGCGGACCAGCTCTTTAGTTTTGCGTGCATTTTGACTCCCCCGGAACATGTCAAAATTCGAACCGCAGAAAAGGTGACGTCACCGATTTCGTAGGAACTTGTCCGGGTACAAGCCCACCATAGACTGGATCATTTAAGCCGCGGCCACGCTTTTCCTAATATGTCGTACAAGAGACGGTTTGTGGACACTAGAGAGTATTAAGGAACCGTTTTCTGCACATGCGATACGGTACGATAGGCCCTCCGGTACGAACTGCGCATGCGCTATCGCAGAAGACTCTCACATGCGCAGCTTGTATCGGACGGCCCATCGTATATCGTATCGGATGTGCAAAAACGGTTCCCTAAAACTCCCTAATGGCTGAGGCGTGGTTCTTCCTCGTATGACGCTGATGCCACACTGGTCATACAAACACTGCCTGCAGACATGTTTGAAGTACGCACATATGTAACCATGCTTCCAACATATTTGAGCTGGAATGCAGGTACTTTTGTCGCACATGTCTGCTACGAATACTTTGTCGCTTGCATGATGTATGAGCAGTGCGACTCGGAGGGAAAGCAAGCCGTGCAACGCCGGCTTCCGTACCTGTCGCTTGGCTCGACGTCCGTTGCCTCGCCTTCTTCCTCCAGCGGACAGGCGACCATGGGACGCACTTGGGCGCTCCGCAGTTGACCGACGCAGGCCTGCATCTCGGGCAGCGATGATCCGCCCACGAACTGCCGGTAGAAGGTGGGGCCGACGAGGGCCGTGAACAGGCGACGACCCAGCATCCTTTGACCCGTAGACAGCAGCTGCACGTGCGGGTGACACAGATCAGAAGCGCCACTTTTCCCAAGACTGTGCGCAGTCTAGTAGCGGTTGCACCAATCATTCAAGTCCGCCATTGTTTCGGCGCTCACTCCGAGCATGAATTGGACACGAGGGCTCCCGACCGGCGTGAACTCAGCTGAGCTCCCACCGAATTCGATCGAGAGCTTTGGCAGTGTTCGACGAAGACTCAGATTCGATAACGCGCTTTGTGCCTAAGAAATGAAGAAAAAGCCGGTTATTGAAAGGTGTTTATTATAGACCCTGTTCAAATGAGAAAAAAAAAATGGTAAGAGTGCAGGCGAGCTTTTGAACAATAACCATGTTGAATTAACCTTAAGCTGGGAGGTCGTCCCGTTTATTTTCTGTCTCTTCTACGCTTTGATATTCCTTCTCTACCCCCGTCTCCTTTGAGAAATTCCATCAAGCAATATTCACGGTCCTGGACAGTCCTGAAAAGTATCTAGGTAAATTGTAGAACAAAACAAGTAAGTTGCGTGATTCAAATTTTTAAAGATTTGGGTTTTCTTGTTTGATCGTTTGTTTGTTTGTTAGGAAAGAAAGGAGAAACAAACTTGTAAGATGACTGAACTATGTGTCGACGAAAGTATTTGCAGTATGTTCAGTTTACGAGAATTTCATCGGCGTCAACTTTTAAGACAGGCGCGCAAAGGCAAAGGTATCGTATTTTACCGGTCAAATGAATGTATTACTTACAGAGACAGGCGTTGGTCAGAGAAAGAAATAACCTATAGGCTTCATTCACTAGCTGAACTCTGTATCGACTTCCAGACTTTAAAAAAAAAACGACTCATTGCGCGTCTACTTCTCTGCAAAGCACTCGGAAGAGCGAATCGCTTGAATCTACGAACGTACACCTTGTGGAGTGACGAGGCTGCAAATATCTTTAGACTTAGGAAAACAACCCGCGCAGTGACACTGACCATGACGTTTCGCCGTGTTTAGTGTAAGAGCATAAGCCTTTTTTCGCATGTGCTTAAACGTCATTTCAGTTTGGTCATTCACCAAGCTCGTTCTACAGATTGCGGCAATTGGTTCTCCAAAATGATTTGCGGGTAAAGTAGACTTTCAAGATTTCTTCAGTTCTTATTGGAGGAATCTTTACAGAACCACTCTGCCTCGTCCAATCTCCCGCAAATGCACGGACAGAACCCACCGCTGCAACCTACAGAGCAGTGCCTTCGTCGGTGTTGTAGTGTGCAGTGATTGACAACTTTACAGCTTAAGAAACGCCGGGCCTGGCTGATTATGTTCACGTTTTTTAATTCGTGATTTGTTATGAGGTGTTCTTACGGGCTAATTGTACTTTTACACTTGCAAAAACTAAAGTCCATTCTTTTTACAAGTAACGAAAACCAATAAAAATGACGAAGCATGTTCCGCTGGAACAAAATGGCGTCATTCAGTTCAGTCTTCTGCTGTGCGCCGCCCTTTGCGCCCTAAAACCTGCATCGTCACGCAGTGCGCCTCGTTGAGTCCTGTTCACCCTTTTGCCCTCGTCCTTGCTGCGCACAAGATTGCATAACACGTCACGCAAACAGCGCTTCAAAAAATGTCGCTACTTGTAGGAAGCTCTTATCTAGGAAGTCTATTGACAACCGGAGGTGCTTGCACCTATTCCTGCCACCGGCGGCGGTTTTCTCGTTTGCTCCCGGGTTGTCGCGCCTGCGACGAGAAGGCGCGAGATTTCTTGTCGTCTGCTGCTCTCGGGCTCTCTCGGCAAGCTCTCGGTCTATCCTGAATACTCAACTCAAGATACTGTATTTCAAATGCTTTTGCTTGTATTTTGGTATCTTGCATATACATTTCGTCTACAGCATTTGCTACTCTCCATTACATTTCTCAGTTTTTTGCACTCGATAACTGAAATACGTTTCTTAGAGCGCAGCTTTTAGGCGCCCGTTGTCGGGTTGAGCGGCAGCGGCGTTGGCGTAACCGCGCGTTGCATTATGGGACGTTTCTCATAGTGATAATTTTACTTTTGTGACGTCACGTGAATTCGAGTTAAATTTATCGGAAAAATTACCCCGCCATAGACCATTCCATTAGGGTCATAGCAGAGAGGGTAACAGAGAGAAAAAAATGCACCCCCCCCCCTCTCACCCCGAATATCGTCTGCTCCGCCGAGTGGGCTCTACCTAGCATCCGGCTGGCGTGCAAACTCTGTTTAAAATCGCGTCATTTTGGAAATTTCAAGCGCAGACGCGCAGATTTTGGAATGCCAGGTATCGTGTAATACTATGTTAGATCAAAAATACTAACAGGGTCCAAATGCGCTGTTACCTGCGTGCAAATAAAACTTAGAAATAGGGAAAACTGTCAGATTGGCCGGTCTCTCCGGCGAAAAGTAAATCCGGTTGCTGTACAATTTTTACTATACAAAGTTCGTACTGGTGATGGCCTTTAGCGACTATGAGTGCAAGCCTGAAATAATAAACAAAAACGTGCTCTCCTGTCGCAATACACGTAGTAGTTGAGGGTAGTACTGCCGGCAGACTCAACTGCTATTTAAGTAACGGAAAAAAGATATGCTAGTTGATCATTTACCGAAATAGGACAACAGAGAACTATAGGCTTATTTTAGAGTAGCCATAACTATTCTAAGAACGCGAACCACTTCACAAGGGCAGCCACGAGCGAGAGTTCAATGTTCCGTACAGCCCGCCGCTACAGCCCAAAGATGGAGAATGGCAACCTCCCGGTTTGTCGTCTCCCAGCGGAGTCGAACGCGTGCCCTCTCTCTCGTTTTACCCCGCCGAACCCGCTGAACTTCCCGGATGTGTGGAGAGGGCGCTGCTGTCGAACAAAATGGTGCCGCCCAGAGAGCGCTAAATGGAATGGTCTATATTTAGTGGTGAAATCGACGTCACGTGACTTCAACACCAATTCACTTTCCCCGCTAAATTTCGCGGGAAATTTTTCGCAAAATTTGCCCGCTAAACTTGGCGGGGATATCTTTGCTTACTTTAGCGGGAAATTCGGCCAAAATTTCTTCCTAAATGGGAGAAATTTAGAAGCGATCGAACATAGAGCAGGAAACTAGACACGAGCAAAACGCAGTCTCCAAACGTCAACAAAAGACCAATGAATAGCCCCAAGTACGCCCGCCTCTTGTTCTCTTGTCCGCTTTTCTTTTTTTAGGTTGTCTTTGAATGGCACGTCACGCTTGAAGCTAGCGAAGTGCCGGTGTCATAACCCGGATTTTACATTCAGACGCCACCTTTTGCATGAAGCTACAGTGGTGCCGTTAGCGGAGGGTTGTAACGCCAACGCTCGTACGATCACAGTAGAGTGAACCATTTTCGGAAATCGATGATTCAGGAGCTTCCAGTATGAAAATGCACAAACACGTTTTCATGCAAGCACACCCATCTCCCTCGGCCAAAAAATCTGGATTTATTAAGCTTCGGTCACCTAAATGGGGCCTCCCCAAACTTCTTTGTATTGCTCCCAAGCTCGTTCAAACGCCGTTTCTTTCATCTCCTTCCGAATAAACGCATTTTTACATCCTCACAATCCTCAAAACCAGTTTTCCGCCAGGTGGAGACAGCTATTGCTAAACTGGTGAATCCAGGGAGGGGGAAGGAGGGAAAGGGAACGCGGCGCAGCATGTTGGCGGCGGCCCTGATAAAACTTATAGGTTGTTGGACTACGCGTAAACCTCGTCAGCTTTAGAGAAACAAGTTATTGTTTCTTTGAATCTTGAAAAAAAGCAAGAGTATTTATTTTATCATGCTTCATTGAAACTTACACATCTGCGATTACAGAAATAAAACCATCGTTTGTGACGTTTAGTCAGTCCCTTTGGACAGTTCGGCAGCGGTGCAGATTGTTACCAGTCGCTAATCTACTCTGTGTTCTTCCACAGTTTCCCGGCCTCGCGCTGCTTTTCTGCCTCGCAAGACATCGCCCCGTCATCCAACGGAAACATCGCCACGTGCCGAAGCGAAGGAAGACCAAGGCGCCGCTTGCGGCGAAATTCGTCCATATAAGCAGGCAGCACACCAACTCGGACCACAGTTCGGCAGCGGTGCAGATTGGTACCAGTCGCTAATCTACTCTGTGTTCTTCCACAGGTGAGAATATATTCACTTTCCTGTTTTAATTTAGAGAACACTCTCTGCACTGCTGCCGAACACAGCCACTATTGTTTTTGCTTTTGTTTTAATTCCACTGATTGTTTTGGGCTAGAACTGTTGACGTGTACATTTCCCTAATCACCCTTGTTCCTAGTCAAAAATGAGCAAGGATAACAAGGAGCTTGCGAAAGCACTTGATGATTTGCGACGGGAGATCAGGGCTGACCTAAGGACTGTGAAGGACAGCGTGAAATTCTGCAATGATACATGTGATGGTGTTAAGGAAATTAGAGATGAGATGAAAGAACTTCGCAAAGAGGTACAAGAACTATCAAAACGAAACGAGGAGCTAACTGCCGAGAACAAAAGGCTTAGTACTAAAGTAGAAGAACTCGAACAGTATCAACGGTCTAATAACCTTGAAATCAAAGGAGTCCCAGCGGAGGGTGACCCTTATGACATTGTTCAAAGGATCACGAGCATTCTGGATGTTCCGATCTCTGACCATGATATCGACCTATGCCACCGCGTCCCTACTTTCAAACCAAACGAAAAAAACATTATTGTCCGTTTCGTACGGCGCGCGCAGAGAAATAAAATCCTGGAAAAGGCAAAAAAAACAAAGGCTGACAACTCAAGATCTTGATTACGGGGGCCCTAGCTGTCCCGTATACGTAAATGAGCATCTGACCAGCAAGAACAAGAAACTGCTTGGTGCAGAAATTGCGCAGAAAAAAAAGGTGGGCTGGAAGTTTGTTTGGTCCTCCAGCGGTAAAGTCTTCGCGAGAAAAGATGTGAACACTGACGCCCTAAAAATTACTAGCATGACTGACGTTGACAGAATTGCAAATTGAATCGAGTAA